CGTCGAGCCCGAGGTGAAGACTGCATAGAGGGCATCTCTGGGTTTGACCAGTGACATGGGAGTTGCGGGTTCAGTCTGACTCTGTGGCCACGATTGGTGCGAATCACCCAGTATGATGGAAGACTTTGCAATTTGACCTGCACGAGGTGCATTCTTCTCCGACGTGATAATAAAAGGCGCCTTTGCATCATCGCATATTCCACGCAGTCGTTGTACTGGGTGAGAGTCGTCTAGCAGAATAAATGCGCCTCCGGCCTTCATCACTGCAAGCATTGCGATGCTGGTCCAGCATGACTTTTCGAAAAAGAGAGGAATAGAAACATTAGGACCTACGCCTTGTTCGCGGAGATAGACAGCCATCTCAGATGAGGTCTGCTCCATCTTCCCGTAAGTGAAACTGCCATCCCAAGCGCACACAGCTGGAGCGTTGGGCTGCGCGAGACTTCGCTTTCGGATCCACCCGTGAGCACAGATCTCCACTGTCTCGGGAAGCGCGGTATTCCATTGTTTCAACTGTGACCAATCTTCAGGACAAATAGTGTCCAGCTCACACAGACGAGCTTCTTCAGATCCAGAAATCAGAACTTGCGTGACATGTCTGAGCTGCTTCAACAATCGGTCCATTTGCACGCTGGGGACAACATGCGGATCGAATGTCGCCTCGATCTCTATTGAGCCCGGTCTCTGCTGACAGATCAAGGTAATTGCGTAGGAACTGAATGCTCCAGTTTCCGAATAGTCCTGCTTCCTTGCGAACATCCAATCACTGCCAGTCTCCTCGGGTTGGATGACAACATGGCTCTGGAAATCACAAGCTTTGCTAGATCCCTGACCAAGGCGTCGAAGGTTTTGAAGCCCTATGTGCTCGAATGGCATCGCGGCAACACAGAACTCCCGCAACCGCTGAAGACTGTTCTTCACGGTCATCTCTGGATCGAGATTCAGTCTCAAAGGGATGGTCGCGATTGCCGGGCCAGTCATATCCTCGACGCCCAGCACAGGAGCGCCACGTCCGCTAACTGTGAGACCGAAGACAACATCGGCGGTCTCCGTATAAAGGGAAAGGATGATCCCCCATGCTAGCTTGAGTTTATCAGCAAGTGTGTACTCACTTGCAACCCGATGGTTCACGGGAATACAGATTGGATGCAGTTCCGTAGACTTGGGGATGTAGGCTGGGGAAGGTAGCGAAGGGAAGCTGGCACTCTGCACATCAGTGAAGCGGCCCTTCCAATACGCCTCTCGCTCGGTAGTCGTGCGCCCGATGTACTCGATCAAAGGACTGCATGGCCTCTCTTCAAGTGCATGTCCGTTATAGGCGGCTTCGAGGTCCCGAAGGAGTACGGGAAGGCCCCAGCCATCGGACAAAGCGTGATGCACAGCCAGTGTGAAGACTGGCAGCTGTAAAGTAGATGCTGTATTGTGAAGATGTGCACGAATCCAGGGCTGTCCGAGCTCGCAGGAGAGCGAACCTTTTGCTACCCTGAATCCCTCCCCGTTCAGCGAGCTCACCTCTAACGCGACTGGCCCCCGAATTACCGCCTGGTAGATCTTGCCATTGCTGGTTTGTATAAATCGAGTCCTCAAGATCGGGTGAGCGTCGACTAACGCATCCCATGCGGACTGGAACCGGTGAGTATTCACCTTCGCAGGCATTTCGTACCGAAACACGCCAATATAGGAGCCCGGTCTCTTTGCGGCTAGAGATATAAGTCCTTCCTGCAACGGTGTACAAGGATACACGTCCTCGATTTCTGTTTCGTGGCTGAGCCGGCATTGCTTCATGGTCTCTGTAAGAATTTGCTTAAAGTTTTCACTGGCAGGAACCAGAGAGAACGGTCGGATTGCGCTACCTCTCGAGATCGTGCGGACTCGGGTCACCATGTCTTCGAGGGCAGGGTGACCATATAAGTCGGCTATGTCTAAATCGAGGCCTTCTTTCCTCGCTAGACCGGCCAGCTTCATAGCTGCCACAGAAGTCCCACCAAGAGCAAAGAAGCCATCTTGAAGACCAATCTCATCCATTGGAATCTCGAGTACTTTTGACCACAGCATCTGGAGCTTGCGCTCAACTGGTCTGGAAGGCCTGCTGTTCTCGACAGCATAGTTTCCGTTATACCTGCGAAGATCATGTCGGGTCAAGGTCGCAGCCAGATTGCGAAGCATTTTCCGGTCACCTTTTCCGTTGTTCGTGAGAGGCATTGACACCAGAGGTAGGAAGGCGGTGGGAATCATGTACTCAGGAACCAGTCCGGACAGTCTGGCTTTAAGTATCTCCACGTTGGTGCTCAGGTCATCCATCGGTTCCTCAAGCCATCCTGCTTTGGAGCCGTGCGTTGTTGTACTATCTGATTTGAGAACAAGGAATGCAACGAGGATTGAGGCTGAAGTCTCATCTGCAAGATGAATCATATCTACCACAACATCCACGGCGCTTGGAAGCATCGATCGGATATGATGCTCAACCTCTCCCGTGTCCAGACGCTGGCCGTGGAGCTTGATCTGCGTATCCTTTCTGGCAACGTAACGGATCGCGCTTTTTGCGGCGTCGAAAACCACCAGATCCCCGGTCTTGTACATCCGATCACCTCGGGATCTAAACATTTTGTGCCACGCCGGGGGGCTGATGAACACTTCGGCCGTTCGTTTAGGGTCGTTGAAGTAGCCGCGGGCGACCATGGGTCCCTCCAGCAGCAGTTCTCCAACCTCCCCCGGCGGGCTCAATCTGTCATGGTTGTCAGGGTCAACGACCCAGCAATTGACTCCAACCCCTCGCCCCAGATCAGACGGGTCAGGCCGGACGCCTGGTTGGAGCGTCGTAGCCATGCAGCCGATCGTGCATTCGGTGGGACCATAGCCGCTGATGCACTGCATACGAGGCATCCATTTCTCAATGTCCCCTTCCCGCAGAGCCTCGCCTCCAATCACCAGGGTCTGCAGGGTGCATAAATCCTCCGGCTCCAACACCCTTGTCAGTGAGGGAGTCAAGAAGGACCAGGTACAGTTAAGTCTGCGACATGACTCTGCCAAATTGTTCTTCCGCTCAGCCTCTGAGGGTATGCACACACAACCGCCCATGACCAACGGCGCGAAGATGTCCAACAGCGAGGCATCGAACGCATGGGACGCAAACTGGAAGACACGGGTCTTCTCATGGATGTTCAGCGCGGCACTGTTGGCCAACACACTAGTCGACAGAGACCGATGCTCTATCACCACCCCCTTTGGTTTTCCGGAAGTCCCGGACGTGAAGACTGCGTAGGCAGTGTTGGTGCAGGGGACCTCTGGCTCTGGTTGCAGCGTGATTGCCCCTCTCCCCAGAACAATGGCATCGCCATCGCCATCGTCACCATCAATCACGACAATCTTGTCAGCAAACTTGACCGTCTCGGCCGTGGCCTTGGTGGCGATGATCACCTTCGCTGCGACGGCGCGGTAGGTCTCCTCTAAGCGCTGGGTGGGATGGGATGGATCCAACGGCAAAAAGGCAGCCCCGGCTTTCAAGACCCCCAGCAGTGCCATGGGATACCAGCGTGACTTCTCCGAGCACACCGGCACAAACTCCTCGATCGCGACTCCGAGATTTAATATGTGGGACGCGAGGCAGGACGACAGGCGATCGAGAGCGGCAAATGTAAAACGCCCATTCCAAGCGGATACGGCCTCGCGTTCAGGCTGTGCAACTGCCTGTCTGTGAAACAGTTCCTGTATGCAGACATTGGAGGGCTGGTGTGTTGAGGGGTTGAAGGAGTTTAATTGCTGCAGCTGCTTCTGGTCGATTTCGGTCTCGCCTGCTGATTCTAGCGGTTCTCGGTTATTGTTGATTGTCTTCGTGGGTTGGTTGAGGCCTTGAGGCGTGGCATTTTCGCAAGTGTCGACTCTTGTCATGATTTTCTTTCTTGGTGGTTTATTGTAGGTTAAGAGAAGCAGCTGTTGTGTGTGTATGAAGAGTCTGGCGCAGGTGATGAAGGCAAGAATGCTAAAGTGGATTCACTTGCGTTGGAACGACTAGCTGCTGAATATAAATATCAACAGAATATGTGTCTCATCGCGAGAGTTCTGTGTGTCCCTCATACTGGTATCGAGAAGGAGTAAGGTTCCTTGACGTTGGAGAAGTTGGAAAAGGAACGAAGGGAGATCTTGCGTAGCGATCAGCAGCTGCCTTGTTTCTCCCGAGTCCTCCGTGTCTTCCACCACGCCCACACACCACATGCCCAACTTCACGCCAGCAGACTACCTGGACTCTTCGATAGGCTGATAGGTATGATTCAAATCAAGCCATATCCCACCAACCCTATCAATCTCCGACGATTTCATTGAAAAATGCGGAACTTGTCCGAACGGGTTAAATGTGTGCAATGCATCCCACAGAAGACGATCCTCTTCACACATGCAGCAACAACAAAGTCTATGGTTAAATGACTTAGAATAGCGGCAGGACACCGAATGGGGTATTCTTGTACCGCACAGCTGCTCACAAATGGAGGTTTTCTTCCTCACACGCAGGATACCATTGTGTCTATCCCGGACCCCGGCCCACGACTACTCTTACTCGGATACTTCAGCAATGTTCTTCTGTGCAGGCCTCTACCGGACATGATTCAAGTCATGACGTATTGTGGTGACTATATTACATTCTTAGAGATTTGCCTGAGTCGATAACCTAGTTTTAAGACGGCCAAGCCTAACCAACCAGTCAAGGGATCTCCCCAGCCGGCATGAATGAACAGTACGTCAATTTTCGACAGTTATATGCCATCAGCAGGAATATTTGTGTCAAACCGGATATATCAGACGACCACTCTTGGGAATGAGCGTGTGGCAGACACAGGCACAGCTCATGATATGCTGTAAGTATACAGGACTGCGCTGTCATCATGTTCATTTTTGACGAAACACAACGCCAGCCATCGACTTTAAAAACAATAAGCCAGACATTTCAGCTGAAGCAAACCGACTCAACTCTCTATAGTCTGAAGGCTATTAATCAAGCTGTTGAAATGTCTACGACCACTGTCTGCGAAGTCACTGGGCCATCATCGGCACTATCGCTCGATACGCGGGCTCCCAAGGAACCCTTTCTTCGCGACATTCGAAAGTCCTTGGAGCTTCTCGACCTGAAGTCATGCGTTATATCGGGTCTGTCGCAGCCGCGCAAGACGATTCCGTCACTTCTCCTCTGGGACGAGCAGGGGCTCAAAAACTTCAATGAATGGACCAACTGTCCTCACTACTATCCCAAGTCAAAGGAGTTGGAGATCCTCGAGACGCACAAAGACAGGATGACGGGCGCTCTACCTGATAGGTCTGCGCTGGTCGAGCTGGGATGTGGGTGCGTGCGCCCGGTTTCAAGATCTCATTTTGATGAATCATACTCATTGCCTGACCCCGTCTTAGAAACGTTCACAAGACCGCAATCACACTCTCCGCCCTCGCTAGACAAGGCAAGGAGGTCCAGTACTATGCCCTGGACGTCTCAGAATCAGCGTTGCGCACTAGCCTGCAGGCTCTGCAAGCAGAGTTCAAGCACTTCCCGGATATCAGCATCTCCGGTCTGCTCGGCACGTATGACGACTGCGTAGACTGGATCGCCAACAACACCGCCAGTCTCCGCACACGCTCAGTCACCTTCCTCTGGGTAGGCAATAGTGTAGCAAACCTCTCCAAGACTGAAGCAAGCGACCTTATGGGTCAGTCCCGCCAAGCCTGCACTATTGCAGGAATGCACTGCCACTTTCTGGTTTCTGCGGACGCTTGTGCCGACGAGAGCAAGCTACTCAAAGCCTACAATCCCGAAGGGGGGTTATCGTCCCTCTTCCTCCGCTATGGCCTCATCCATGTTAACAAGCTGCTCCGAGCGGATCTGTTCAAAGACGTGGTTTGGAACTGCCTCCTCGAGTACGATCGAGAGGAGAACGAGATCCTGACTTTCTATTCTCCCGAAAGCGATGTCACATTGTCGAGCGGCGCAACGTCAGTGACGGTACATCATGGGGAGAAGATATTTTTTTTCCGTAGTGGCAAATGGAATGGAGAACAAATGAGCATTATTGCACAGCAGGGCGGGTTTCAAGTTTCGCAGGTATGGAGGGACGCAAAACAGGAGTACGGTAAGCTGAGCCCAAAGGTAAATTTCCATGGTGGATGGTGTGCAGCTACTGACGAATTTCAGGATTCTATCTTCTGTCTTCATAGCGGCATCTGCAACATACCTTGCTTCTTCTTTCAGAGTTTCATATATGCTGCCATGATCATGATAAATTTCCAATTTGCACTTGATATTGCAGTCGATAGAACTGAATATTTGATGTAACGGTTTCGGCTTGGGAATTGTGCTCGGTAAGCTTTTGCATGCGAATCATAGCGGGCCTCAATACTGCAAGCCCTCCTTGCAGTGTGAATTTGTAGAACGATGACACTTCGCAGTCCGTCTTAGTAAGGACCTCGTGAATAAAACTCTGAGTATCAATAATGAAGCGAAGTCTCGCCTGAGCGGAAGCGGCGACTGACACCTGAGCTTTCCGTGAAGACCGGATGCCCCTTGCATGAACCATTCCCACAACCATCCGTGGCAGGGAAACGTGTGTAACATAGCATGCAAGACAGGGTGCTTGGGCCAGGGAAGCATTTGTAGCACAGCATGCGTCGAGCCATTTGCGACGTCATTTTTAACCTTATCCATGATGTGAAGCCCAGACAGGGAAATAGCCCAGGAGAAGGAAACGTGGACTGGTCCGCCAAACAACCTTAAAGCATTCCTGAAAGTTAGTCTGAGGAGGGGCCAGATAACGGGAAAACAGGGAATCGGGAAGCCAACTCTCTAGGAAAAGGCACTACAGGTTTGCTCGGCCGATCGATGTTTTGCTCGCACTCCCTGCGTCCAAGTACTAGACTAGACAAACAGGTGTATACACGCATCAGGTGGGTAGTTAGACCTGTCTCGAGGTCTTTTAGTCTTGTTCAAGTAGAAACAACGGGTAACAAGATATCCGGCAGGTCTTCCCGTGCACCCGGATCTGTGTGGCAAACAATCCTAAGTAGGTACATGCGAGACATGAATTGTCAATGTCAGCAGACCTCAGTCTTCATCTGCTGCATTCGGACTAAGCTGGTTGTCTTTTTAGCCCACCTCATAATCCGGCTCAAGCCTTTGACTCTTGGCCGTGCAGGAATTATGACACCTTTTCTTGTCTGTTGGAATGCCACTGCAGGTAACACTTGGAAAATGATCTTGAAACTTCGTACCATGTACGTCGGTGAACTGACCCGGCGAATAGTCCTAGGTCATGAAGAAGATGGCCTATCCAGTCTGAGCTGGGATTTGATATGTCGACAATCACAGTGCATAATGTGTCATGCATCTGCATCAATTCGGACATCAACACGTACAAGAAACGGATTCATGAACTTTTGGTGGACGGCAAGCCAACATCGAGAGGCTGTGGCACGTAGGCCAACCACGAGATCATCATGAGTTGCTCAACCTAATTCGCATATAATGGAAGACAACCTGCTGTAGCTTCAAACCACGCATCAGGGACCGTGAGATGGAGATTGGCTTCATCACAGCATAGACCATGGTGTCACAGTATTGGAAGACGATAGCTTTCATAGCTGCTGCGTGTGTCTTCATCTGGACCAAATATACCAAAAGATGGCCAAGTCATAGACTTCCCCCGGGCCCGCGAGGTCTCCCATTGATAGGGAATCTTCATCAGTTTCCTTCCAGCTTGGCCAGATCTACTTTCGATGAATGGCACAAGCAGTATGGACCAATCGTGGGCCTGTCTCTGGGACAAAGACCCGCCATTATCATAGGCAGCGCCTCGATTGCCAATGAATTATTTGCGAAGAGAGGCCGCATCTATAGCTCTCGACCTCGAATGGTGATGGCGTTAGAGAACTTGTCCCACGGGATGCACACGGTTTTCCTACCGTACGGGCCTCAGTGGAGGGCGCACAATCGCATCCATAAGACCATTCTCGCACCGAGCAAGGCCTTGCATTTCCACGAGCTCCTTGAGGCAGAAACTAAGCTGACTCTCCGCGACCTGCTGCATTCCAAAGACTGGGACCAAAGCATTGTCCGCTTTACATCTAGCGTGGTGTACAGCCTTGCGTATGGTCAACGCCTCCAAGGGGATGAGCCGGAAATCCGGGAGATGTCTGACTTTGTCGAGGAGACAATGCGTGCAATCTCTGGATCCTGGCTGGTAGATATCCTGCCCTTCATCAATAAACTGCCCAGCTTCATCAACCCATGGAAGAGATTCGGGAATCGCTTCCACCAGCAGGCGATGCGGATATTTGCAGAAAGCAGCAGACACGCCATAAAGGCACCAGGGTGGAACATCACAAAGCATGCCCAGACGAAGGAACGAACCGGTCATTTCAGCGATGAGGAGTTACTCTATGTAGTTGGCGTGCTTTTCCAAGCCGGCATCGACTCCACCTCCACGGCCTTCCGATATTGCATCCTGGCATGCATCCTGCACCGCGACAAAGTCACGAAAGCTCAACAGGAGCTAGATGCCGTGGTTGGGAAAACTCGTCTCCCCAGTCTGGATGATATAGCCGAGCTGCCTTACACGAAAGCTTTCATCAACGAGGTTCTCCGCTGGCGGCCTATCACGGTCGGATCGTTAGCGCACTGCAGCTCCGAGCACGACACATTCATGGGTTATGATATACCGAAAGGCTCGGTGGTGATACTCAATCATTGGTCAACCGTGTTGAGCACCGATACCTACGGACCAGATGCCGCCTGCTTTCGCCCAGAGCGATGGATTGAAGACCCCAACCTGCCGCTGCTTGCATTCGGCTGCGGACGACGAGCCTGTTCGGGGCAGTATCTGGCTCAGAAGGAGCTTGAGGTTTTGATCCCTAGTATACTATGGGCTTTCGATATCGAAGTCAACTCTTCAGATGAGTCGAAGCTGAAGTTGGATCCTTGGGATCTCCTAGAAATTGGCGGACTCCTTCGACCGCCTCCATTTCCAGCAAGCTTCATCCCCCGTGACGAAGAGAGGAGGACACTCATCGAGCGTGAGTCCAGAAAGGTGGATGCAGCGGGCCTTCAGGATATATTGAATCGGATTCAAACACGTCTGGATCGTGGCTGAGCAGGTTATGATGAAGAATCGGCGGGTAGCGGAGAAGGGTAGGATAGGAAACGAAGAAGGTGAGGAAGAAGGATGGGGAAGGAGGCAGACGGGAGGAGAAACTATAGAGTAATACGCAGTACCTATATAACTTTAGATGAAGGCAATCACCGTAGCAAGATGAAGAAGTTGTTAATCTTGTCTCCACATCCACGCCTCACTCAATTCTCCTGATATCTGACACTAGTTACCAGCCAGCATCTTCCCAACTTTTCGATTCACCCATCATCTTCAACCTCTTATCAACTCACCCCGACCACCCGCTACAACAGTTCCTGAAAGAGAACCTATCTCACGTTCCCAACTTAATGAACCTAAACAGATCATATCCCCACTCGGCTAAATGAGAAGTCAATGCACCAATCCAGCCATTCATTAGCTCCATAGAATCCCAGATCCTATCACAATCAGCCAAGAGAGTGTCACAATGTACATAACCAAATCACACCCCCTCCTCAATCTCCGTCCAGCCCCTAACCTCCCCAAAATCCATAACGCGATACTCACCCCCAAACCGATTGAGGGTATCCTCCCAGTCGCGATCCACCGCCAACTCAGGCCTCCACCTCACCGTCCGCGCCAGTCTCTCCTCCAACCGTCCCTCCAAACGATCCACGATGAACCCGCCAATGGACGGGATATGCGCGAACCCTCGCCCGGACGCGCCCACCGCACACAGCAAAGATGGATAGTCGGGATGATAATCGATCAAGAAATTGCGGTCGACGGTGTCGGCGCACCAGCAGATGCGGGCGAAGACGAGCGGGCGGTGCGCCAGCTGGGGTAGGGTGGCGCGCAGCAGGGCGCGGATGCGCGCCTCAGACTCCAACGGGATCTGGTGGCGGGCGAAGGGGACGCTTCGCCTCTCGCTGTGGGGCTTGTTGTCCGGGTTGTCGTAGACCCAGTTGCAGTAGCCGGGATGCTCGTCGCAGATCTTGAGGTCGTGGTGCTCGGCGTCGGGCTCCATGAAGAAGCCCTGGTCGGCGTTGAAGAGGACCGGGAGGTGGCGGTAGGCGGCGGCCTCGGTGGGGGACAGGCGGATGTGCGCGAGCGTCCACGCTGTCGGGCGGAGCTGTTTCTTGAAGTCCAGAAGTTGGTCCGCGTTGGCGCCGGCGGCGAGGATCACTTTGGCCGCGTGGTGGGAAGTGCCGTCGGCGGTTGCGACGCCGATGACGTCTCCTGCGCTGTGGGAGTGGTCGGACGCAGAGGAAAAGAGTAGCCGCACGACTTTCCCTTGCGGATCGCCGCCGATGAATCGCACGCCTAGGCGCTGGGCCTCGGTGATGGCCGCGAGTAGGGCGTTGCGCGCGTGCACCCAGCCCGCGTCTTTCTTCTTCCAGTACCCCTTCCACCCTGGGAGAGGGCCGGTGAGGATCCCTGTGGGGAATGCTTGTCGGAAATCGTCCGGCGTGTTCAGTTCGACTACCTCGTCTCCGGGGCGGTCACGGCGGTGGATATGCTTGAGGCCGTCCGGGGAGAAGGCGGAGGTGATGGATCCGGTCTCGTGGAAGTGTGGTTTGAAGATCGGGTCGTGCTGGAAGCCATGGCTCAGCGCGGCGAAAAAGGTCCGATTGGCGTAGTCCGGGTCGTCGTCGGCTGGAGGTTTCACTGGATAAGACCTCTTTAGGTTAGGGATCAAGCAGACACTCTTAGGGAAGAGAGTAATGAAGCATACTGAAAGAGACAATCTTGTTCACATCGTTCCCCGCCGAGATAGCAGATGGCTGGGGATACGCATCCAGAACCGTGACATTGGTATATCCTCGTCGCGCCAAGTGCAGCGCAGTCGAAGCACCCCACGTTCCGGCCCCTACTATCAGAATATGCGAATTATGCATGCTGCTGTCGCTGCTGTCTCCGCGATTGTTGATTTTGTTGTCCATCGCAGGCAAGGGATCGATGTCAATATGAACCGACACAGAGGGACCTGTTGTCTCGTGAATTAGGTGTGGAGCACGCATTTCCTGGCCCCTTGCAGCCACTAACTATCTCATGAACCCAAACTAAAACTCTCGTATGTGGCCTGTCAAGGACCTTATATTTAATTCCTGTAGCTTGTTGTAGCTGATACATGAACCGCCGGGCCTCCGAGGACGGACAACCGTTTGGAGTGGCCGCGATAAGGGACCAAATCACATCATAATTGGATCCAATTTCGAGCTCCCCCGTAGTGGCACTAGACTAGGCGATGATAAGGCAAGCTTGCTCCACTCTTGCAACAAGCTTCGCTTGGACCTGCCATTGTTCGGTCGATCTGGGGTAGACCTCATCGCTTCACCGTACTGTACATTGACACTAGAAAAGCAGTCTATGACTTGGCGAGGTGGCCAACAACAGCCATTCTCATTTATTTTTGATAGATTCCACAAGTCAAATACCTCATCGAGAAGTCCACGACCAAAAGAGGGCTCACAACACTATGCTCAGCTTCAGTGCAGTCAACATACAATCTCCCCCAAGCAGAATCGACCAAAGAACAGCCCCAGCACGCAAAATAAGAACACGGGCACAGCTCAGCTATCAGGCAGACTGTTGAAATATCGGGGCACACACACATAAGCATCCATATATCCCCTTGCAAGCTCACATCCGAGCAGTCTGATCAACCTCATTATACATAGATCATATGAAATCGCCAAGCAAAGCAGAACAACGCAGATCCGAGTAAAGCGGAGGATTAAGATATAACAGATGATTCAGAGCATGCTCCCAGGCTCGCGGGGCCAATCCTTTCCAGTATCAGATCGTAATTCAAATTCTCGACGAGTAAGTGGCTTGTTTTTCTTTTTCAACCTTTTTTATAGATTTTCTTTGCCGATATGTGTGTGAGCGCTTCTTCTCCGCCAAGTTCGCCGCGCGCAACCCATTAAACGAAATTCGAGATCAGGGCACAGCCAGTAAAGCCATCGACACAAACCTATGACGCCATAGATTTGCCGGACATTACTGCAGAAACAACATGAAACTTATTAGCAAAAATTACACTCCTTAATTCCCATGGACAAATCAAGCAAAGCTTGCCTCAGGCCCCACAACCCTCCCCTCCAGATCATCCACATGATTACACAGCGCGACAAACAAATCGAAAAAGAAGGGATGGCCCCTCTCCATCTCCAACTGCATCGTGCCGCTGGTCTTGAAGACCGCCCGCGACCGGATGATCATCGCCAGGTACCGCGCACGCAGCCGATCCTCCGACTCGGGCGTATGCTCGTACGCGAAACGCGCGGACCGCAGGATCACGTCCACCGCAATCCCGGTTCGGAGACCCTGTTTGCGCAGGGCGAGGCGCTTGAGGGTCTCGGGGAGGCCGTAGTGCTCGGCGGCGCAGTAAATGGCCGTATCCCGGAGGATGAGGCCTGCCCGGTGATGATGGAAGGTGGCAGTGGGGGAAGTGTTAGGGCCAGCGGATTTACCGTCCTTGCTGGGATGAGTGTGAACTGGCTTGGTTGCGAGGAACTCCTCGGCGTTCTGCTGCCTCTCGTTCTCGCTGTCAGCTTCTTCCTCGAGGCGCCAGGCAGGTGCCTCGAGACCATCCCCACGTAGAAGACGCGGGGAGTAGTCGCCTTTGTAGAAAAATTCGAGGATGCAGGAAAGGATTTCTGGGTCCCTGTCTCTTCGAGTCAGCCTCTCAGACACCCTGGAGGCAACACCCCTGAGTGGTGCAAAAAGGTGATACTTACTCATCAGGCAGAGCCACCACTTTATTCAAGCTGCTCTCGATGAACTGATCTCGGAGCATAGCATCGAAGAAAGTAGCCCGGGAGAGTACATCTTCATGCGCGACGAAGAGGCGATGATCCGGGCCCACGATCAAGCTAACCACGGGGCTCACGAGGGGGCTGGGGGGTTGCAGAATACATTAGCTTCCACGGCCCGGACATGCAAGGAGACATTGGCATGCGAAAGCATACGCAAAAAGCTCAAGCAAAGCAAGAAGAAGACAGAGACAGCCCGCAGGAATGACCAGATAAATGCAGATAAACACCTACCTATTAAGAGGCGGCTCCTTCATGGTCGACTTCTCTTCCTTCTTCTCTTCATCCTTTCCCTTCCCACCCTTCATTGACTTGGTCTTAAACCCTACCTTCTTGGTCATGGACGATCGGACAGGCTTCTTGACCCGGCGGTTCTGAGCTAGCAAGGACGCAGAGCGTCTTCTACTGGCCCTTCCAGCCATCGTGCTTCTGCCGCCCGGATCCATCCACTGGACCAGGAACGAGACGATAGACATTCAGGTGTGGAATGAAGAGAGAAGAGAGAAAGCAAGAGAATTAAGTGACCAGAAGAGGGAGCAGAAAGCGAATGACTGTGGATCAAAACGCAGGAAAGGACAGGAATGACGCTGCCGCCGTTGAGTCATGCACAGGGTCGCATGAACGGGGGGAGGAGTCTCGGAAGCTGGTCATGCAAGACTACAGGTTCCCTTTCCGCAGACACCGGGCTTCATCAGAAGAAGACCCGGCGGGAAGCTTGCAAAGGAACTTGCGATCTTACGCTATCTAGCTTGCACTTGCGGTCATCTACGGTAAAGTAGAGACACTATAGCGGGACGGTCGACTCTGGGAAGCGCGGAGAAGAAAGAGAGAGAAGAGCAGAGAAGAGAAACAGGAATTAAGAGATGAAGGTGTGATGGTGGTGGTGGGGATCATGTGATGGTGAGCGGCTGACCGATCAATCATTCGTGCTTGATTTTCGGCTACTGTACTTATCGTCGCAGTACTTCCAGGCTACAACCAGGCTCGGTAGCCCAGGCAGGAATAAAATCTCCCATGACGTTATACGTATAACCTAAGATATAGACTGATGATCATGAACAACAATCATGAGCAGCTTCTTGCCACACAACAGAAAGAAGCACGCCCTCTGAGCACATCGCTCCACGCCGTAAAATAGGAAAAGAAATGCAAGCATGCAGATAAAGTAGGCCCCAGATACATGACATGAAACAGGATGATCGCTACCGGACATACCATGACAGAACAACAGTAACAACACTATTAGCAGATCATAGACAGTAAGAGAATGTACCCGAGGTGGGAAGATGCTTCGACGAAGACAGCAACGTCCTGGTGAATACGCGAGCATCAGGATCAGGCAGTCTTCTTCTTCCGGCCCCGCTTAGGCTTCTCCTCATCGTCAGCAGTAGCAGCAGCGGCCTTGGTCGGCTTCTTCGCGGCCTTCTTCTTAGCGGCAGCAGGCTCCTCGTCGGCTTCCTCGACAGCGGCCTTGGATTTGGCTGGACGACCGCGCTTGGAAGTCTTCGGCTTGACCTCCTCTTCCTCGTCTTCATCAGATACAGGCTTAGGTTGAGCGCTCTTCCTGGATCGCTTAGGCTTGGGTGCTTCTTCTTCGTGCTCCTGCTGCTCACCGTCGGCCTCAGCCTCGACCTTAGGGTCTTTCTTGGGCTGAGCACGACTGCGCTTCTTGCTCTTGGGGGTAGGCTCCGCCTCATCCTCCTCGTCAGCTTTGGCCTGAGCCTTCTTCTGTCCATTTATGTCAGTTTCAAGTCCGAATGAAAGCCAGGTATTTAGTCACAAAATCTTACCTTAGCCGCAGCCTCCTTTTTGGTGGCCTTCGAACGGAAGCCATTCATACCAGGACGGTTGACTTCAACATCCTAATCATCGATACGGATTAGAATTGCTCATTGACCCACGAGCAAGCAAATAGCACCAACCCCCAACCAACCCCCATCGACACCAAGAAAAAGAAAGAGAAAAACTTACCCCCTTCCAATCCTCATCATCAACATGCCCCTGCTCCAAGGCCCGACGAACCTTGTCTTGATTCTCCTCAGAAAGCTCATCAAAGCCATCGAGAGCCGAGCAATCCGTCTCATCCCCACCACTTATGTCCTTGATAGCATCCTTCAGATTCTGGATGACATTCGGCGTGACACAGCCCCTGATTGTGGGGGAGAGGTACATCAGATACTGAAAGGGTTCTCATGGTGCACGACACACAAACCCAAGGCTCAAAATGCTTGCTGCTTGCAGATGGCCAGGGAGAAAGACTTACCAGTGACGCCATTTCCAGCTCTGGTAATCGCCTGCTTCGACCCAGCTGCCGTGACGGAGCTCCCCCTTGGCGATCTTGATTTTGGCGTCCTTGCATTCCTTGTTCTGGCAGCCGGCACGGCTGCTGCTCGCCTCCTCTGGGGGAATAGGTTAGTTCAGAGCTCAATAAATCAGAGGTGCATAGTTCGTCGAGTAGCATGATTGTGCTAGTAGTGCAGACAACTGAAGAAAACCCAGTGTAGAATATTATAGGAGAATCCAAAATGAAAAAAAAAAAAAAAAAAAAAATCTAGGAATCTGGTGAAGTGGATAATGTGACAGTTGGCAGGACAGCAGCTCGGCAGAACAAATATTGAAGACTCGTAGACAACAAATCCCTATCACCAGCCCATATTTCATATATCGATACAAATTTATGTCTTGAGAAAATCGAATGTACACAGCAACACTGTACTTCGAAGGCAGGAAAGGATCGATGGAACAGAACTTACCCAGCCGATATGCGCCCATTTTTGCCGGACTGCAATGACGACGGTGCTACGTGCGGCAAGTTTCTTGGGTTCTGGCACAAAACACCTGACTTCACTGGGTTTGAGAAAGCAGGTCAAACACTCGAGACTGTCGAGAGAATTTGAAGACACACCAACAGTAGGTGGGCGATGGAAAAGAAAGAAAAGAAATAAAAAAAAATTGGCAGCGAGGTTGAAAACAGAAGAGGAAACAATCGGAGGTGGTCTGAGAGAGGAAGGAAAACGAGCGTGAGTGGGAAAGGGAATGCGGGCGAGCCAACAGCCCAACGGAACCCGCCAAAGACCATTGCCGCAGGGCTCCTCGCCGCCCTTTTGCTACGACGCTCATGGCTGGTAATGATCATTACTGAATTTTGTTTTGCTCTAGATGACAGACTGTCACGGGCTCTTTAATTGTCTCTATCTTGGAACCACTTTAAATAGTGAGGTTGGTGGTTATTATCACTACTACATCTTCAATCCCTGCGGTCGCTGCGGTCGGTTCTTCGAGAATACTTCGAAATCATCGGTCTTACTGCAGAAGGCTGAAGAACAGTCGAGAACTCTAAAAGGCATCATCTACCTAGTATATACACTACCAACGTAGCAGTTCAATTCCTAGATATCATTGCTCATCAGATGTCGCCTATCGCTGCCTATCCCACCCATTGTTGCCTAGAAAATCAACCATGAGCACGGGCTTGACTCGTACATACATCAGATTTCACCAACAACAAATATCACTGAGAACATGAGAACCTGAGAACCTGAGAGCCTGAGAGCCTGAGAGCCTACCCCAGCCGGGTCTCCACAAATATGAGGTGCTCTCATAGATCAGAGTTCAGGCTCATGTCCACAACGATCCCGAAGCGCTTCAAGCCAGATGGTATGAAGTTTCTCCAAATCGGCGATGTGCTTCTGAAGCATGACCACTGCCCCAAGGCTGAGACGCGACATGTATGCAGAAGCGTCTCCGACAGCTGGGTCTTGGCCCGTGGAGGTGCGGTGGTGATGCTCAATCATTGCCAGCGCATCATCGATGGCTCGACGGATCAGATGAGGGCGATTCATGTCCAGCGCGATCGTGGACGCGGGGAAATATAGCCACGAGGTAACATCATCGAAGCCAGACACCTCATTTGCCAGAGCATGTATCATCAACTTCCGCGTCAGTAGGAATGCTCGCTCGGTGTATTGAATCGAGTCAATCCGCTTCTCCTCGTCTGTAGCAAGGGTTTCGAAGCCAGGCTCATCTGCAGGAGTTAGTGCTTAACAACGGGACTTTTCAGGTCTGAAGGGACTGCCTTACTGTAAAACGGACGTTTGACCAGGACCAAACCCATGATGGAAACCATGATCTGGAGAAGCGTAGACTTGGAAGAAGACCAAATCTCATTTGGGTTCTGTGCAGGCCATGTGCCCAACAGACTAAGGCAAACCTGGCCGTCGAGGTGCAGATTAGGATTGATTTCTGCCTCAGTGACGGAACAGTAGTGAAAGAAAGCAGCCGGGGGCTTGCTTGGGAATTGATCCGTGAGGTGGAAGTCAATCACAAAAGGCGCATGCTCGTACGGAGTGCCCGCAGGCCCAACAATCAGAGTCCTGATGAGATCCACGCGTGACTCCCATGAACGGACATAGATGCCAGCAGGAAGAGATGTATTGAGGACCCTCCATTCCTTTTGTATGCGCTTGATACTCAAGCTGGAATTCCCCGCGGGCTCACTCGAGAGGAAATGATGATCAGAGGGAGGGGGTCCTTCGAGTACGAGGAACGCTGGAGGAGCCGATGATCCGGGGGGTTCTGTTCCACTCATTTCCATGTCTCCTTCAGCATCTGCCATTGTGACATGATAATACGGGAAGTCCTCAATGTGTTCCAGTGCGTCTTTTGAAGCGTGTGTAGGCTCTGCCTCTTCCCCATGGGATACTCCGTGGCAGTTGGCATCATCATCGTCATCAGTGTCTTCATTATCGGTATCATCTGTGTCGAGATCTTCGGACTCGTCGTTCGGAGCCAACTCATTAAGAGGCATTTCTTCACAATCACAAGGATATGACAACAAGATTCTCTCCGTTGGCATCTCAATATCCACACATGAATCTCCGTGGGTCAACCGCACCGTGACGGTACCATCGGTGTTGGGTTTCATGATCATCCCGACAAAGTTCGCATGTAACCTTGCGCAGAAGTCTTCGTAGTGAACACTGAGGCGTGTAGGTGCCGGAGAGTTGTCGACTACGATTGTGCTCTTGAACCATGCAGTACGAACGACGTCTCTCTTCGATTTCTCGAGGTAGCTCCGTATAGCATCGAAGTGCTTGGAAGGTGCATGGCTCGAATGATCGGCGCCATTGCCAGAGGCAGGGCTTACCCGGAGAGCTTGCAACACAGATGCGTGTATAGTGCTCGGTATAATATGCACAAGTCTCCCTGGTGACCTACGTAGGGCAGGGAAAGAGGCGAGCTCGTAGAGCGATACTGGAGTTTTCTTGGTGTTCAAGGTTCCCAGTCGAGTGTATTCGTGGTTTAGACAGTATCCGTGTAGCGGGAGCTCAACAGTAGCGTCGTCGTACCATCGAACATATGCTACTCGCTCTCGACTATCCACCTCTTGAACCACGCCCACTTCGTGTGAATGAAGCGACAAGCATGATGAACATCTATTATCACCTCCGGTCGAAGGAATTGCTTGAACCGAGTCTTTGAGAACAGTCAAATCTCCAGGGAAGACCTCTTCGGCGGGATAGGGATTTGGTGTATGCAGAGATATTGCGTTCTCTATGGTAACCTTCCCGTTCTGCCACTGAACTGTCGTGTCTGTCTTGGACGAGACAATTCGAAAGACATTCAGATCATACCCATACGAATATTCAACTGGGACGTGACGATAGTGAGGGTATTTTGCAGCCGCTCCAACCGTGTCACGGAAGCGCACTACACTTCCCAGTTTCATCAAGCATCTGGGCCTCAGCTGAAGCTCCTCCTCACTAGACTTGTTCGTCGGGGCCCGACCGAAGTCACACTTGACCGCATACTTCTTGAACAAAGATGCTCTGATTATCTCCGTCCCCCCAGTGACTGTGTCTTTGTCTATGCCAATCCCGAACGCATTTGGCATCATCCACTTGACATGGTACTGTGAAGCTGGTGTAGCCAACGTGCAGACATGCTGACGACCACGAGTGGGGTTCTTGGTACGAGCACCATAGACTTCGCACATGTTCGCGGCATCGACCAAGGCAGCTCGGCCAGGATAGACTTGACCAGGGTCCTTGTATACTATCTCGGCTCCGGCAACCTCTGACTGTTCAGTAATCTCTCCACCGCGTGGCATCCACACCAGCCTTGCTGGGTCGACCCAAGCTGGACATTCGACGTTCAATGGATTGTAGAGGGTGACGACCTCGCTTTGCCTCGTCAAAAACACAGGATCTCGATCAACATGCCGGATGACCCCAAGCTTCTGCTGATATATGATGTGGTCTCCCACGGCGAATGGCTCATGAGACTCAATGTCGGAGACGACAACATCATGTAGCAAGTTAGATTGTAGTTCGTCCATCGGTGGCATTATGTTAGAGCTGAGACACTTCGGCTTATCCTTGAATCTCAGCGGGCCATGTTCCCCTGTTAGTGAGTTGCTGGGGAGAGACGCGACAGGCTCCAGGGTGTATCTGGTCCGGCAACTTAGTACCCTGCCACACATGGCATCGTGTGCTTGGCATTTGACGATATCACCAATGTGGCATTCTCTGTCGATGAGTTGAAGCTCATTTTCAGGAATCAGCGAGTAGCCCTGCGATCTATCCACGAACCGGACAAAGACATATCCTTGCGGGGCCTGTTGAGGAGCAAAAGAGACCTTAGTAAACACGCAGAAGAAGTCCCTGAGCTTTGCTACGTACGTCCTCTGTCTGCAGGAATTTCTCCAGAATTCCCGCGGGTGTCGATGGATGAGAAAGGATGAGGTATTCGTCCGGCGGGTAAACTAGGGGCTTTTATGCAGCATAGGTCAGTCACACCAGAGCTCTGTGTTCTGGAGAGGGGGAAGAGAAAGTACATCATCATGAGTACCCTGCATCTAATCAGTATCCGAGAGAAGGTTACTACAAGAGACCTGGTAAACATACCTCAACAGAGCACACACGAGACGGATTTGAGACCAGACAACATATATCATCTGGTTCGAACTGCTGAGCATGAGCTTTGAATTATAGAAAGAGTAGGAGACGATCTCTGCCTCAGCTCACTGAACTTACGTGGGCCTTCGTATTTCTTTGTGCCTCAGCAGTCGCCGCCATGGTCAGGAACGAGGATACACGATCTGCATAGGCGGTTGAATCTGCAGTGAGCAAGTATTTGGGAGAGCCAGATCCAAGTGATAGTGGGAAGGAGAGAGAAGGGAGTAGATTCTGTGAGATGCGAGAGTAGTAGTTTGCTGACGAGAGGAGGAGGAAGAAGAAGAAGGGGAAGATAAATAGCGTCAGAGGTATGGGATCACCCGTCAGGTTGAGGGAAAGTGAAAGAAGCTCCTTGGAGCCTTGAGGCGGCTCTGCCGTTCACCTCAGGGAGTGAATGAAGAGCTCAGGGCCAGAGACCGATCAAAGAGGGCCGACGCACTTCACGACCTTCTACAGGCCGTGTGTGATTACATGCCAGAAAGACCAGCCAGCCCCGCCGGGAAGAGGAAGTATAGATAATGAACAGGGAGGAGGGGTTTGTCACTTTTCTCAACAACACCTCCAAAGAGACTAGGCGAGAACAGGCCCCATCGGCCATTGTGCACTGTTATCCCCCTTCAGCCCTGAACTATAGAAAAGAATCCTCGTGGACCATGAAGTTGTCAGCCTGTCATACCGTGGACGATAGCAGTATATACTTCAAGTCGCCCAACCTCGGATAAACTTCCCTACATTAAAGGCAGTCTTGGCACAGCCACCCACTTTCCCTTCCCAAAGCTTCCAGAACAACCACCGGCACCGCCGATCATCAAACCCTCCAACAATCCTACACCTACACTTTCCACCCATCACCAACCTAGACCTCAACTCCTCCTCCTCACAAAACCACCACAACCACCACCACCAAAAACCAACGCCTCCCCAAAATGTCCGAACCCATCCCCGAATCGATCCCCACAAGCGCCGACCCGCGCAGCAAACGGCCCCTCAAGCGACGCGCCCTGAACACCCCGCAAACCGCACAATCCGAACAAGCCTCGCAGATCGAGACGCTGATGCGGGACCCAACGCGCGAGATCCATCTGCCCACCCAACGACCCCCGCGCACGGCGGGGTCGCTGCCGCCGCCGCCGGAGATCGTCGCCAACGTGCAGGGGTCGTCGGCCGGCGCGGGGTCCGGCGAGTTCCACGTCTACAAGGCCAGCCGGCGGCGCGAGTACGAGCGGATCCGGCTGATGCAGAACGAGGTGATCCAGGAGCAGGAGGATGAGGCGTGGGCGCGGAAGCAGGCCGACACCAAGCGGCGGGACGAGGAGCGGACGGAGAAGAATCGGCGGCGGAGGGAGAAGAAGAAGCGCGCTAATGCGAGGAAGGAAACCACTCATCAGGCCGGTGGTGAGGAGGGAAAGGATGGGGCTGCTGGGGATCGGATGGTGGTTGATCGGGCGGATGAGACGGCGGCGGCGGCTGGGGATGGCAATGGCAATGGCAATGGCAATGGGGAGGCTGGTGGGGAGGTGCAGGGGATCATTATCCATGATGATTGAATTGCATTGGATTAGATTGGGGGGCAGGTAGTGGCTGGAAAGTGCTATGGCCACTATTGCACAACATGTGGAAAAAGATGCGGTAGGATTACAATGTACGATATGAAGATACCCATTAGTTTGAAAGTCTAGGATGTTCTTACAGAATGTCCGTTGCCGAAAAGTCATCGTGCAGAATTATGTACGCAATTTTTACTATCTTTGATATCTCGCTCAATTTACTCGTCGCCGCCACCGGCTCCGACACCCACTTGCTGGGCCGACTTACCGCTGCAGATGTCGTCAACACGGAGAAGCAGGCAGGCGGACTAGTTTCTCTGGTTAGCTTGGGGGACAATCTGACATTAACAGCGCGGGCACTCACCTCAACAGCAGTCTTGATGCTCTGGAGCTTGACAGCCTCGGGCTCCCAGACTCCGTACTCCTTCATATCAACCAAAGCTCCGGAGTCGCCGTCCAGACCCCAGGTGGTGTGGCCCTCGACGTGCTTGGCTCTCATACGAGTGAGAACACGGATGGGGCTGGCACCGGCGTTCTGTGCTAACGTGCGGGGGATGACCTCCATGGCGTCGGCGACGGCCTTGTAGGGCCACTGCTGGACGCCCTCGATCGACTTGGCCAGCTGGCTCAAGCGGACAGAGACGGCCATCTCGATGGCACCACCGCCGGGGGAAAGGCGGGGATGGAAGATAACGTTCCGGGCCACGGCCATGGCATCCTGGAGGTTACGCTCGATCTCATTCAGGATATCCTTCGAAGGACCGCGGAGGAGGATCGTGCAGGCCTTGGGGCTCTGGCACTTTCTCATGAAGGTGAAGTACTCGTCGCCAATCTTCTCGATCTCGAACAGACCGCACTGGGTTCCGACGTCGGACTCCTGGAGGTCGTCCACGCGGTTGACAATGGTGGCGCCCGTGGCTCTGGCGATACGGTTGTTGTCCGTCTTTCTGACACGGCGGAGAGCCGTGACATTGGCCTTCATCAGGAAGTGCTGAGCGAGATCTGAACACAGGAATTAGCTATATGCAAACCCAACATCTCAGCGCTTGGTTCCTACCCGAGACACCCTTCTCGGTGATGACAACGTCGGGCTTCAGAGCCAAGATGGCATCACACATGTGCTTAACCTGCTCCTCCTCGATCTGCAAGATACGGTTCCAGTCATCCTCCTTGGTGATCTCGATGTTCGTCTGCGATTCACCCTTCTTGTACTCCAACGGGCAGTCGAGCAAGATGATGCGGGGGTTCTCGATTCTTCTCCGCATCTTCGGGTGCGTGATATCCTTGTTGACCATGACACCGTCGATAACCTCACTGTCCTCAATCTGACCACCGGGGATCTTCTCGATACGAGCGTAGCGCTTGATGTCAACCTCACGCTTGCCACCGCCAGCGTCAAAGGACACAGTCCGAACCGCCTTCAGGGCGAGGCTGCACATAAGCTCCGACCACCGAGAGACGAATTTGGTTCCGATGGAGGACTGGATGAGGGTGTACATGGCCTTGTCGTCGTCGATGTCGACGGGTATCGAGACCTCCTCGACGATGGCGAGGGCGTCAGCCAAAGCACGCTTGAAGGCGGAGATGATGACAACGGGGTGGATGTTGCGTTCGAGTTGGGGAAGGGCCTGTGCGAGCATTTCACCGGCTGGTACATGTTAGCAGGCTTGCTTCGGCAATCAGGAGAGCCCCGAAGCAGCGATGCATGCATACCAAGAATAATGACGGTCGTCGTTCCATCTCCGACCTCCTCGTCCTGAGTGCGGCTCAATTCGATCATGCTCTTCGCGGCGGGGTGCGACACCTCAATTTCTCTCAGGATAGCGTGTCCGTCGTTCGTCAGGACAATACCGCCCATCGGATCCAGCAGCATTTTCAGCATAGCCTTGGGTCCGAGACATGACCGGATGATATCCGCAACGCTGCAGTTGACAATCCTGTATTAGAGACCGGAGCGGGGGAGGCGGGGGGGGGGGG